TTTTAAACGGGGCGGAGGTAATTTAAACGGGGCGCAACGATTCAAACAGGGGGGAGTTTTCCCAAACGGGGCGCGCGCCCCGTTTGCGCAACGTAGGGAGAACCCTGACTTATAGGTATAGAGATACAGGATAATTTCAGTAAATACAGGAACATTTTCACAACGGCGATGTTAAATTTGACAACGGCGGTGCGCCACTGTGCCTCCTATGTATAGGAAACCCTGTAGGTAGACTCGCTGTAGTCCGGCCAGGTACTTGCTGTACTCTCCTAGCTCTAGCTACTGTTAAAAAAACACGTGAGAAAAAAATTCACCATCTCTACTACATAATATAACCTATAGTAAAATGCGTAGAAATGAGCCAGTCCCGCTCGTAACGATACCGATTCCGAACTCGAAGGCCTGCTTCCGGTAACCATGACGATAAATAACCGCGAGTGTTCTGCCACCAGGTGGAGATGGAGGTTCTGCGGCATGAGAACCTGCGCTTCCAGGAGGAGGTGGAGCTTCTCAAGGGACAGGTGGAGGAGCTGACGAACCTGAAGCGCATCGCGGAGAAGAACCTGGAGGAGGCGCTCGAAGCTCTGCAGGTGAGGCTGCTGCTGCTGACGACACACGTACACCTGTACACGCAAACGCACCTGCCTGCCGCCTGTTTGCTTGCATGCCTGCTTGCTTGTTTAGCTGCCTGCCTGCCTGCCTGCCTCTCTCGTTGTCTTCCTGCCTGCCTGATCATCTGGCTGTCTACCTGTCTGCCTGCCTGCCTGCCTGCCTGCTTGCTCAGCTGTCTACCTGCCTGCCTGCCTGCCTCTCTCGTTGTCTTCCTGCCTGCCTGATCATCTGGCTGTCTACCTGTCTGCCTGCCTGCCTGCCTGCCTGCCTGCTTGCTTAGCTGTCTACCTGCTGGCCTGCCTGCCTGCCTGCTTGCCTAGCTGTCTACCTGCCGGCCTGCCTGCCTGCCTGCCTGCCTGCTTGCCTATCTGTCTACCTGCCGGCCTGCCTAATAAACAAATGAATCAATATTAATCCGATCTATCACCGCAGTAGAAGTGAAACCAAATGACACATTCAAGAAACATATTCAAATAAATAAATAAATAAATAAATGAATGAATAAATGTATAAATACTGATCCGATCCATTCCCGCAGGAGAAGCAATGCCAAAATCTCACATTCAAGCACATATTAAAATAAATAAACAAATTAATTAATTAATAAATAAATAAATGCATGGAGGAATACTAATCCGATCCGAAACTACCCCCCGCAGGAGGAGCGAGACCAGAAGCACATATTCAAGCGTGAGCTTGACCAGCACAAGAACTCCGAGACGCTCTTCAACTTCAGTAACCTCGCCTTAACGGCCCTCAAGGCCGGCTCCTCGGATCCCGACAATCCCGCCGACCTCTCGTTCGAGGAGGACTTCGATGCGGGCTCGCCGCTCAAGCGGTACTGCGGGGCGCGTTGTCTGAAGCAAATGAATTTCTCATACCCGGTGTATAGACGTTTCAAATGCTACGTATAAGTGGAGTGCACGTGAATGCAAGGCTCGTTGTCTGAAGCTGAATTACTGTATAGGCCGTATTTTTCACGTAAAGATATTTTCGGGATTTCAGACTTGACGGACAATTTCGCGAGTGGTTAATTTCGCAGTCGGTGAATTATGTATTATTCGGTATTATTCGGTATGAATGATTTGCGTGTTGTTATTTTCACGGTCGGGGATGCGTTCACGAAATTCGCGAAAATTAAACCACTGCGAAATATACAGCTTATACAGTAGTCTTAATATTAACTTGTTCTAATTTTCATCATCCATTTCCTCTCTCGCTCGTATACTCTATCTCTCTCTCTCTCTCTCTCTCTCTGCTACAGCTTGCTGGACTCAAAGTGTAGTTCGCGTGAGGATGGTCGTGCAGCTAGAGAGTTTCGCTGGTGCCGGTTCCGCTCGGGCATGAAGATCTGCCTCCAACACTGTGCAAATCGCACACAGCGGAGCTAATTAGATAGTGTAGCTACTGTGTGCATGTGAGAGTGTGGAGGTGAGACGGAGTGTGAGAGTGAGGGTCATGAGGAGAGAGAGAAAGAAAGAGAGAAGAGAGCGAGAGCGAGAGAGAGAGAGAGAGAGAGAGAG